CAATGGAATTGCTCCCATGTACAAAGTCAAGCATGTACAGGACTTTGTACATACCATGTATGTACAAGAGAGCTCCTACTGATTTTTTTTACATGTATTTTTCTTTTACATGTACTAGATTAGAATCATAGAATCATAGAATTGCTCAGGTTGGAAAAGACCTTAAAAGTCATTGAATCCAACCTCAACCTAACCATACTACCCTAATTAACGACCTGCTGCTAAATCATGTCCCTGAGCACCACATCTAAATGGTTTTTAAACGCATCCAGGGATGGTGGCTCAACCATCATCAAGCATATAAAAATTATTTACATAGTATTTGTACAGGTAATTAGATATAGATGTGTGTGTGTTATTTGTAAAACAGATATCAATGTTTCTTATATACTTTTATGTCCACACAACTGTAAATGTTATCGTGGCTTGCATCAGAAGTAGGATGGGCAGCAGGACACAGGGAAGTGATTGTCCTTCTACTCTTGGCATTGGTGAGATCGCATCTCAAGTACAGCATTCAGTTTTGGGCCCCTCACTACAAGAATATTAAGTTGCTTGAGTATCAGCAACAAAGCTTTTGAAGGAACTGGTAAACAAGACACATAATGAGTGACCACGGAAACTGGGACTGTTTAGTCTTGGAGATGAGAAAGCTGAGGGGAGAGAACCTCATTGCTCTGTACAGCTGCCTGAAAGAAGGTTGCGGAGAGGAGGATATTGGTCTCTTTTTTCAGGTCACAAATGAAAGGAGATGAGGAGCAACCTCAAGTTGCAAAAGAGGAGGTTTAGACTGAATATTAGGCTCCACAGAGAAATTGGTCAAACACTGGAAGGTGATGCCCAGGGTCACCATCCTTAAAGGTATTTAAGACAGTGATGGGACTTGGTAGTATCAGGTAGATTGTTGTGCTTGATCTTTGGGGTCTTTTTCAAGCTGAATGATTCTATGATCCTATGATTCTATATTGTGTCTTACATATATAAATTTACTATGGCTTTTTTTTTTTTTTTTTTTTTTGCATATACACATGCTTAGACAGACTAATTCAGATCGTAAAATGAGACTCCTTTTTCCTTGCTTAAATTTTAGAGCCATTTTTAACACTGTAGAGTTAACAGAACAATGCTGATATTTTAGGACCATTTGTTTTCTTGCCATATTTACAATGTCATTACGCTTCACTAAATGTCTAACTGAATGGAAATATATGATTTAAGAAAAAGGTTCATGTATTACAAGATGTTTTAGGTTTTAGGAGGAAGGAAAATGAATGATATATATTTTGGTTCAACAATAAAAGATCCCTTTGTGCCACAGATCCTACTGACAGCTCATTAAGAGGTCTCTCACAAAGATACCTCCTATGGGAAGCTAAAAGTATAGTGGAACAATATAAAACATTAGATTAAGTGGAAAGTTTGTTGAGATAGTGGGGTGGTTTTTTGTTTTGTTTGTTTGTTTGTTTTAATTAGGAAGGAAATAATATGTATTGTTGTTTTCTATTACAAATGCTATTACCTGAAACTAGAGTGGCTTAAAAAAAGAAAGATATGAATAAACAAAATAAAAACTATTCATTCTGTGGATTCTACATTAGTAAACATTTTTCTGTGTGTGTGCATCATTAGAATATAGATTAAACTCATTTCAGTGTTGAAGGTACAGCTCACCAAAGTAATGATGAATGGGATAGCATATGTAGTAGGCTTCACTTCTTCAGGATAGGCTTCATTGTAGGTAGTTTTCTAGTCTGAATGTCCTGGGGTGGTTGTTGCAAAGAATACGTAGTGAATTTCACTGTGAAATGTGTTTTGAAATATTTAATCTTATGCGTGTTGTTTTCCTTCCACTGCTAAAGGAACATATGCTTTCTAGAGGAAAGTACCTTCCTATCTCCAGCTATTGAAAAGCAGCTTCCTTTCATTTGTTGTTTTTTCGTGTGTGTGTCTTTTTTACATTGAAGGTAGCTCACATAGCTTTCTAAGTATGACCTCAGCTAGGTCCCCCACATAGAGATGACACAAGCATGAGGGAATAAACAGTAATTAATGCAAGTAAATGAAATTTTCAATAGACTAAAATACCTAAATAGCATTTTGTACTGTGGTGACTGATTTAATAATAGACACTGCAGAGTTATTGTTAAGAAGCACCAAGTGTTATTCTGATGGAGAATTTTTACCTCAAACTGGTTGAGGAAAGGGTCCACCATTTAGGATATAGTTTGAAAATATGTCCCTGTGCATGTGTGTGACTAACAGCAAATAGTAAGTGAAGTGTTCATCCCAAACCAGAATAGATGCAATTCTAGAGCTTCAGTTTTGGTATTTTCTCACCCTGTTGACCCTGTTGTCTCCTATGATAAATTCACATGCTTGTTCGTTTTCTCGGGGAGGCAAACCAAACTATAATAGAAAGCTTCATTAATATTAATTCTAATGGATTCCACTTACCAGAATACGAAGTACAAAGGAGGTGTTATAATATTAAATACTTTCGTGAGTAGAATAAATATTTTATAAACAAGCATAAGAATTGCTGCATTATTTATACTGCATAATTCATAAATTTTGTCTCTAAATTTTCATATGACAATAAAATGTATGTATAATGCATGTATAAAATGTATCCTTAGCATACGTAGTTTGAAGGCAAACAATTTCAGAAATAATGCACAGGTTTCATACTTCTTACCTGTATATTTTCATTTCATTTCTCTTCTCTTAAACCTGACCTTTTAAGTACAACGACTCCAGTTGCATTAGAAAATTACCACACTTTAAGGAAATAGCCTTACAGTATTGAAATATCAAGAGTCACTCATTTCTAGTTTTCCATACTAGACCAGAAGAGTAAAAATACTGGACCTTAAACCCATAAGTTGCTAGAATTGAAGGCATTTCATTTTATACCTTACATTAATAAACATTTAATTGTGATTATATAATAGAGAAGGGGAAAATATTTAAAATGTAATATGAAAAGTTTTGCTGAAATCACTCAGTGTAGTGTTGGTAAATCAGTGCTGTACAGCAAAGATGAATTAGTTTACAGTGTGCAGATGCAGCAGTCAAAAGTGTACAGTAGTCCACCTTTTCACAGAAAAGGACAACGTTATCTGAAATCATCAGATATACAATGTACATATATGTATGAAAGTTAAAATGTGCAAAGATGTGTAAGTTTACACATTAATAAACATGCATTTGTTTGAACTATTTTTGAGAGTTGAGTATGTATGAACATTGAAGTTAAAATTAATGAGTATTAAGGTAATGTTGAAGAAAGATGCGTAAAACAGCTAATGAATAAAATTGTTAATGTATGTTTTCTTGTGCTATTTTTTATTTACAAAAATGTCATGATAACATAATGTGGGCTGTGTTTTTCTTACAAAATTCAGTATCAAAAATGATGTTAAAAATCCACCTAAGCATTGTCTGTGAATTGACCACAAATTTTCTTTGCATGGAAATGTTCGTTTCAAAAGTAGCTACTTCATATGAAGTAAAATTTCTTTTAAAAACCATCAAAAAGCATTATAAAATGCTTTCAATGTTTTAAGGTTCTGAATCTGAAGAAGGGAAATCTGAGACAAGCAAGCTAAGAATTTGCCAGCATAGAATGGGGAGTTTTGCATAAAATTCGAGATTTGATCTTTCTGTTCCCATTGACAGCATAATTTACTTTTAAAGCACTGGAATTTTAAAGTCATTTTAAATATTAAAAAACTGTTACAAATCAGAATGTGAAGTGCATTAGCAGTATATTTCATAGATAGGTATGTGCCTGTGGCTGATGTTAAAAATACTGAAAATGGGCACATTTTTCTTTGCTGCATAAATAAGTTATAATATATAGTCAAGATAAAAAATCAATGTAAATTATAGTAGCAAAGTCATTCTAAAAACACATCTTACATTATGTTGCATTTTTCAAATGTGATTTTTCTTCTATTAGAAATAATTGAACACCAAAATACTGTCCGTTCAGAACTCTGTTAGTTCTGAGTATCAGGTTCTCTGATCTGAATTGGTAAATAGTCACAGAATTAAAGTTGGTCAGTAATTATTTTGAGAGATAATGCAGCTCAGCTATAATGAGGCTGAACATTGTGTGTATTGTTACGTATTCTGTCAATGATGGAAAGAAATTATTAGGAGAGTTAGTCTGTAACTCATTTTTTTTTAAGTTGGCAGTCAGAATGGATTGAGCCAGATGTCTAAAATGCACTTGTAGAAATTTTTGAATATTTTGGCTGTTCGTTCCCACTAAATTGAGATCTGCAGAAATGTCAGATTGCCTACTAGTAAGGGTTGCTTTTAAAGAAGCATGCTCTTTGTTAGGCTCTGCAAAAACACATGAAAAAACTGATGAAAAAGGAAGGAAAATAATGCTTAATGCTAAAAAGGGTCTTTCAGATTTCTAACAACATATAGCTTTTTTTTTTCCATAAAGTTTTTCATTACTGTGGTTATTTGCTGTGATAAACAAGTCTGAGAGATCATGAAAAATTTATCAGTTTCATAAGTATATTCTTCCTTATAATTTACAAACTTGACTTTTTTTAGTGTGTCTATCCATAAAAAGTTTTAATTTGAGTAATTTGGAAGAGAAAATCCTACTTTCCTTTTTTCTTGCAAATCATTTGCTTTATGGAGAACTCATTTTAAAGTTAGCCATGGAGCTACAATTATTTATCCAAAGTTATCTGACTATTTGGCAATGCTTCAGAGTTCTCTTCTGCAGAACACAGCGCAGCACACACAAGTGTCGTAGTGTTTGGTTGTTCTCAGCACCTCGTCAGTCAGAAGAGGTAGCAATACTTTCAATTTTTCTTTGTGAATGTCAGTTGAGTCACATTTTTGTTCTCTCAGATCAGCTTGCTTGAATGATGGTAATAACATTCATCTTATTAACATGGTATAATTTAAATATACTGTAGCAGTTTTAGAAATTCTGTTCCATTTAGCAGAATCTCTGTTGCCCCCTTTTTCAGATGACGGTTGCTGCTGGTACGAGCATTGAGAATAACATTCAAAGGACCATATCCTGCCCTAATGTATGTTTTACATATTTCGGATTTCTGTGTAATTTAAATGCAAATCCTCCTTTTGTGACTGATAATTTATTGCCCAGAGATGCCTGTCATCTTGAGGTTACTTCATACTGTATGTTATATATATATTTCAGGGTCATTTAATATTGTACTACAAGTGAGGTCTTAGCCTATCAAAATGCTGAATTGGTGTCATTTTTTTCCTGTATGGTTTGATGGCACTGCTAAATAAAGACAATGATAATGCATTCACAGATCCTTCTGAATTTACCTTGCTTCCCTCTCAGCTCAATGCTCTTGTCAGTTGAAATCAGCAGAACAGCAGTAAACAAAATGGGGAAAGCAATGAGAGGCTATATTTATTCCACTTAATCTTGTTCTAAATTGGATTTTAACATGAAGATATGTAATACTAAATTTGGAAGAAAGGTAATTTCATTTTTCTTGCTTAAACAAATATATCCCATGACTGAATGCAGAAAAGGGGAGTTACTACTGCAGATGAAAGTAAAGCAAGAATCTATTTTGTTAACAGGAGAAGCAATTTATTCACTTGTAGTATAATAGATCATATATCTTTTTTACTATACCTAGTCAGTAAATTGAAAGTCACTGAACCAAAATTGAGCTTATATACATGAATGGGGAAATGTTAGCTGGAATTTGGGATGTACTGTTGAGAAAAGAATTTGGTTCTGTGTTATAGAGAAACTACTTTCTATCATGTAACGTGTTTAATCATTTACTTTTCAGCTAAAAATAATCTTTTTTATCAGGGAGTTATCAGAAGTTCTGGATAAACATTTCCATCACTTTTAAAATATAACAAACAATTGAACTATGAGTACAATACAGTTAAAGTTACTAATACCTAAGAAAAAAGGTACTGTGATTCAACATCGGGGGAATGAAGTATGTTCTTGCCAATCTGGAAAATGAATAAAAAAAAAAAAAAAAAAAGTAGAACAACCTTTTTCTCCTGAGATGTTCGTGCTCCTAAGGGAACTTCAAGAAATTATTTCTGCTGTAGTGAAATAAAATTATACATTTGAAATCTTGAATCAGTGTGGATTTTGTAGATATACCCCTTGAATGGACCAATACTGTAACTTCTTGACTATGATTTGTACTGCTAGAAGGAGCATGGTGGTGATGTGACAGCAGTTGGACAAGGTGATCTTAGCAGTCTTTTCCAACCTTAATGATCCTATGATTCCACATTCACAATTACCTCTAAGCAGAGGAAAAGTGTGATTTTATGCGTGACTAATCATCATGCATGAAAATCCCCAGTCTGTTCCAGATTTCAAACATTATTTTAAATTTGGCAGGGCAATTTTAGTATTTCAGTCTGCAAATAGAAATATTTATGATGAGAGATAACAGTTCACAAGCATGAAAATATGCAGAATTTCGGATTTAGTTCTAGGATTCTGTACCATTTCTTAAAAAAATAAATAAAAAACAACAACAACTTTTTTTGTCTTTCAATTTGTTTTCTTAAAAAAAAAAAAAAAAAACAAAAAAAAACAACAAACCCAAAACATTAAGACAGGTTCTAAATAGATGTTTTCTTAAAAGAATGGCATGCATGGATTAACTCTTCATTCTTTGGATTAAATTCAGTAACACCAAAATAAGCACATAATCCGTTAACTGCTGTTGAACAAGAATGACCTTGTTCCTGCCTTTAGAAATCAAAAGCTTTTTAAAATTATTTTAGTTTGTTCTCTTTGGACTTTGTGATGATTTTTTTTTTCTTTTTTGTCCAAAAAAGAAAAAAAAAAAAAAAAAAAAAAAAAAAAAGTATCAAACAGCACAAGAATGGAGGATAAAATTTAAAATTTATCATTTCTGACTCCATCTCCTGATTTACCCGTCTAAAGTTTAATGTTAAATTTATTGTAGCTATCTCTGCTCTAGAGGCAGTGGAGGTTAGAGTTAGTTATCACCTGTCAGCTCATGAGGATATCAGTCTTTGTCCATTGACTGAAAAGGGCACCCTAAGAACTGATCTGGGCTTAGACACCTTGCTTATACAGGTGATTAAAATCATGTAATACAAACTCTGCTTTCCTAGTTTAAGATGTTGTTTAGAACGAAAATTACCTCACCAGACTGCAGCCTGCTAAAAGCTTCATGTTCAGTTAAACTATGATACAGCTTCTTCTTTCAATGGAGAAAACAATGTACGTGCCGTTCACATGACATGGAGGAATTCTGACTGAGGGGTCTTCTCTTGATTAAGGCAGTAAATTGAGTGTATAGATTAGGCTAGACATTAAAGACCATTCTCACAGCTGAATCTTGGAAAAAAAGATATAATTCATGTAACAGTGAAATTGAAATCTTGAAATTCATTGAAAGAATAGGCATAGGCTCCAATATTTTCTTCTGAATTCTCTCCACAAACTGCAAAGAAATATTAAGAGGACTTTAACAAGAAGCTTATTTCCTGTTCTAGATTTCACTAGAACACTAAAAGCAAAATCTTTCGTATTTAAAACTATTATTTATTTTCTTCTGTGGAGAAAACCAGTTCAGTCATAAAGGGTGTGAAACAAGCTCTTTCCATTGTTGTTTATTTATGTCCAAATCATCAGTGGGTGAAGAGGTGTTTTACATTCTTACTGTATGAATGCATAGAAGCAACCTAATTCTTAACTCTGAAGACTCTTAACAAGAAGATGCAGTATTTGTTCTACCTCAGACTTTGAAATGATTCTCAATGAAAATTTATTGTGCAGGTGAGTTTTTAGGCTTGAATTCCTCAAATTTGTTTCCAGTTGTATCAGATTTTGTAACTTATTTCAAAGCATTCTATTCAGAGACAGAATACAATCCTTACCAACAGCTTCACATCATCCAAATACATAAACTTTCAGTCATCAACCTTGCTGCAAGCTTTGTATTTACCTCTTCACTCAACATCTTGCGGGGAGAACAGGAAGGGAAGGGAGTTATGTTTCACATGTACTTCTGTTGGCATTAGATCTTCCTAGGACATTGTAGCAACTACAAAGGCACACCCAGCTTCAGTTTTTTTAAAAAACAGTGTATCTGAAAATTGTCAAATTGATGGATAACTAAAAAAGTTGTTATTCCTTCCTAAATACTCTGGCCTCTTGGTGATTGGGAACCATTTATATAGCCCTTCATCACTGAATAAAGGCAGGTTTCTTAGACTTTTTCCACAAGTATGCTTTATGTTATGACTGATTGTTCTTTAGCTAATTAGAAAAAGAAATCATAAGTGTAGCAATTTAATGCACTGTTTCATATATGAGAAAATACATTAATTAAATATTTTATTATTTCAATTATTCCACTGAATTCCAAACCTGCAATTAACTGTATGAACTGTAACTGGCATTAAGTTTATTAAATGCAAAGTTGAAATTTTTTTGAATACATGGTAAGTTTTCAGTTACTGGATTACTTATTCTGCAGTGTTTTATGGTTTCTTGTAATTACTGTGAATTGCACAAGTTTATATTTCTGCTGTTCATAAAAGGGATGACAGTGAACCAAATTAATGTCCTCAGTGGAAAACATTCTCACAAGCCTACAATTTTCAGTCAGTATACACTGTACTAATTCAGCATTTTAATTACATGACATTAATCCTATACAATTTTCTAAGACTCAGTTATTTAGTCAAATATGCATTTAATTTGACTTTTTTGGCTCTTAATCTCAGAGCTAAAATATACTTTGAGAAGTACTCATCTATAAAGAGAATTTGAGGTGTTAAAGCTGTACGTAAAGCAGAGAATGTCCTGTTCATGATTCATATATGCTAAAATATTAAATTTAAAAAAAAAGACTACACCCAGTACATTATTTTACTTCATTGAAATACACTGAATAAAATACACTTCATTGAAATAAAACTGAAAATCAAAAATAAACTTCTATATATTCAAACTTTAGAACTCAGAAATTATCATGTGCTATGGTGTGTGCTGAGAGTGCTAGCAGAGTACCAAGACACTTTCCACCATCTGTCAGTGTTCCTGGTCAACCGGAGTGGTTTCAGGGGATTGGAGGCTTGCCAATGTGACTCCCATCTACATGAAGGATCATAAGGAGGATTTAGGGAATTATAGGCATGTCAGTTTGACCTTGGTGGCATGGAAAGTTATGGACCAGATCATCTTGAGATCATAGAGTAGATGCAGGACAACTGGGGGATCAGGCCCTGCTGATCCTGCTTGACCAACATGTTCTCCTCCTAGGACCTGCCTGGTGAATGAGGAAAGGGCTGTTGACGTAGTCTGTGTAGACTTTAGCAAAACCTTTGACACTGTTTTCCACAGTATTCTCCTGGAGAAATTGGCAGCCTGTGGTTTGGACAGGTAACTTCTTTGCTGGGTAAATAACTGGCTGTAGGGCCAAGCCCAGAGAGTGGTGGTGAATGGAGTTAAATCCAGCTGGCAACCAATCAAAGTGCTGTTCTGCAGGGGTTAGTATTGGGGCCTGTGCTTTTTCATATCTAAAATAGATTTAATATCTATCTACATTGATGACCTGGACAAGGGGATAGAGTGCCCCCTCAGTAAGTTTGCAGATGACATCAAGCTAGAAGGAAGTCTTGATCTGCCTGGGTATAGGGAGGCCCTTAAGAAGGATCTGGGTCTAGATTAATGAGCCAAGACCAATGGAACGAAGTTCAACATGACCAAGTACTGTATCCTGCCCTTTAGTTACAAAAATCCCAGGCAACATTACAGCTTTTATTAGTTACATAGTTTAATGTGTGTAAAATTTTAATACAAAATGATTACCTTATAGGTCTTGACAAGATAAATGGCATACACTGAGATATTTTATACAGAAGTTCTGTAGAAATACATCAATTTGCCTGTGTTATATCCGGTTTTATCCAGCATGTTTTAAAAGCACTGTTTTTATTCATTCTCAGTTCTTTACACTACTTTGAAAGTATTTGGGTCAGGTTACAATGAGGTGCAGAGAAATGAGAGAAAACACTGATAAAATGC